CCCCTCCTGATCTCGTTCGATTATGGTCAGGCGTTCCCTAGCCTTTCCCAAGAGTACCTGCTGATTCTGATGAAGAAGCTCGGGCTTCCTCGGCCCCTCATGTGGTTTCTCTCGTGGCTGTACCTCGCTATTCAAGGTGTGGTGGCCCATGCTGGCCAACTTATCCCTATATACTGGCTGCGGTCTGGGATTATCCAAGGATGTGGGCTCTCTGGGAGCCTCTACGCCCTCGGCACGGCCCCCTTTCTCCAGGCGCTGGAGGACTCCCTCGAGGCTCCTGGATATGGTATTGCTCGTGCGTGTGCTGATGATATAGGAGCAGTGGTATATGAAGCTAGGCACCTTCAGGTGCTATATGATGTGATGGTGGTTACGGAGTGTCTAACAGGGCTGGAGCTGAAGCCCATGAAGTGCCAAATTGTCCCGCTCAAGGGGGAGTTCACTGAGTCCCTCCATTTCCACACCTTGTCCCTGGTCGAGCGCCTGGTCCCTGCCTGGCACGCCTTCGAAGTGGCCTCCCACGTTCTCTACCTGGGCCTCCTGCTGGGCCCCGCCGTCACTGTCGACATGCAGTGGCTCGCACCGCTACAGAAGCTCAAATTACGGGCTCGCCTACTGGGGTCTGGGGCTGCCCCTGCTAGTATCAACGGCGTCTTGTACTCGTCCAGGGTGTTCTCAGTGGTCTCATATGTGGCCCAATTCGTTCCTCTTCCTCAACGTCTCGCCGCTCTGGAACTGGGGATTCTGGCGCAAGTCTTCAGAGCCCCTCTTGGAATGCTCACCTTAGCTGGATGGGCCCAAATTGGAGAATGGGGAGGCCCTCGTATCCCTCTGCTGCTACACTCGTGCGCCGCTGCCTATGCTCGAGCTGCATTAGTCACGTTTTCTGATCACACTACCATTAACGATCGATTCCGACAGCTGGAATCTGAATGGAGATGTTCCCTCATGGCGGGGCGATATGATGATGCGCCTCTGGCGGCGATTCGGACGCGTGGAGATGCACTCGACCATACTGGCACGCACTGGCGATCCCCTTCCTTCTTGCTCGGATACGCATCAATTCTCCAGCCACGCAGGGAGGCAGCGTACACCACCGAGATCAATAACACATGCGTGCAGGCCATCGCCCAGGAGCTCCTGGCCACCGACAGGAAGCCCAAGCCTCAACGTGCTGCCACCCGTGCCCTTCGGGAGTTGCTGGTGACACCCTTCCCACATGCCTCGCTGGTGCAGAGACGTCTTCTGAAATATGTACATGAATGGGAACCGTTCCTGGATCGTGTGGCCTGGACAGAGATTGGTGGACTTCTACCGCTGGTCCCCATGAGCTGGGCCATGCCTGTTATAAAGACTTATTGCTCTGGATGGCTTACCTCATCGCGCATCAAATATGCTGGAGGCTCCCGCTCATGTATCTTTGGATGCCGAGCTCACGATGATCGACAGTATCATTACATGCGATGCCGCCCGCTCTGGACAGCGGTGTACCAAGCGCTAGGATATGAGATGCTCCCACTCCTCCCTGACCGATTGGGGCTGCGGCTCCCTGACATCAAGCATGTCGAAGCCGTGACAGTTGCCTTCAACATCTACCACAACATGCGCTTTCGTTTGTGCGTCACCGCCAATGACCTTCGATCGGGTGCGAGAGCGGCGGTCAGAAATCTAAGATTGGCCAAGCCCGATTCCCAATGGCAAAAGAAATGGCAGCCCCCAGAGGCACTGATTCTCCGCCGCCTTCCTCTACCCACGTCGACCTCATCGACATCAGCTAGCGATATCGAGGACGACGAGCTGCTGCCCGACCCCCCTGGAGATCCCCAAGACGGTGATGAACTGGCCGCTGGTAGTCATGGTCTTACATCTGTGGGCAAGACCTCGGACAGCCCGCCCTGCGTCGACACTGATGGAGTACCGAGCTCTGGTCCTGACGTGGTCGAGAATGATTACCGATCACCGTGCCTCACTCCGCAGCTGGTCCCCACGGTCCACACCGATGATGACAGAGGCTCTTCCCCCTCCGCTCCTGGTACACCAGCTACTCTGATTGCGACGCCTACTAGAGAGATACACAGCGACGACATCGACTGCCCCGAACACTCAGTGCCGAGCAGATGGGGTGCTGACATCGTTAGAACGCCAAGTCCTGGCGCTGGGTGCTCCTCGAGCCCAGGTGTCCAGGCATCTAGAGTAAATTGTGAGGAGTGGCTGCTGCCGTCCCCTGGAGTTGAGGCTGGGAAGGTCAGAACGCAAAGTCCTGGCGACGGGTGCTCCTCGAGCCCGTCGATTCAGGCGTCTAGAGTAAATTGCGAGGTGTGGTCTCTTCCGCCGATGACGATTAGAACGCTCTGTCCTGCGCTGGGGTGCTCCTCGAGCCCTGGGAAGCAGGCTGGCTCTACTACCGAGGGGAAGGTCACTGGCTCTGTGCCGTCCCTGATCGTGCGTCGCTCTCGGCAGGGATGCATTCTGGCTACCACTCCTGGACGTGCCGTTGCTCCCATGGCGCCCTGCTCGTCCGTGGCGTCATGTTCCCCGATGACGTTGTCATGGACTCCCTCGCGGTCTCCGTGCACCCTGATGGCCAGCCCGTCGACCCAGAGGCTATCTCCCCCCCCCCCGTGGTCCGCGCCAAGGAGCCCGCCTTACCCTGAGCCTTCCCGTCGCTGCCTCTTTTCGACTGCCCCCTTGTCCTCTTTTGCCCCGCACACCCCGCTATGCCCGCCCACGCTCGGCTCTACGCATGCCCATCCGCCCGTTCCGTCTCCCTTGTCCCTTGAGCCCTCCCTGCTGCTGCCCTCTGCCGTCTCCTCTCGCTCCTCTCCCCTGGAGTTAGCTATGTTGCTGGCGTTTCCCCCGTCTCCCACCCCTTCCGTCGCTCCTTTGAGCCTTGCCCCTGCTCCTGCGTGCTCCTCCCTTGCTTCTCCCTCCTCGTGGCATAATCAGCCTTGGTGTTCTAACACCGCAAAGAGCGAGGCAACGACCTCTGGCGCCCCTGCGCCTCTTTCTTAGGGTAGAGCTGAACCCCCCCTGTACGCTGTCCTCCTCCTCCTCCTCCTCCTCCTCCTCCTCCCTCCCTCCTCCCTCCTCCTCCTCCTCCCTCCTCCTCCTCCTCCCTCTCCCTCCTCCCCTCCTCCTCCTCCTCCTCCTCCCTCCTCCTCCTCCTCCTCCTCCTCCTCCTCCGCCTCCTCCTCCTCCTCCTCCTCCCTCTTCCCTCTTCCCTCCTCCTCCTCCTCCTCCTCCTCCTCCTCCTTCTCTCCCTTCTCCCTCTACAGGAGGAGTGTCCAAAAGTAGCCCCAAAAAAGTATAGGGGACGATTTGAGGAGCATCTCTTGCCCCTCTTGGAGCATGTCTCTGTTTTTTTGTTCATCTGTCGTCCAGGATCCGCCCGGAGCGGGACATGCCCGACCCAGCCCCGCCCTCGGGGGCCCGCGCTTGGGCCCCACGGCCCGTGCCGCGCGCCGTCCGCCGGCCTGGCCAGGGCCAGGGATGCAGCTGCGCGCCGCTGCCGGGCTTGGGGAGGGGCCCGGCCTCGGGGGGCGGCGGGCCCAGGCCCCCTCGGGCAATAGAAAAATCTTGACGGTAGTTTTTGGTCACTTTCGGCTTCTGGGGGCCCTAACCGGCCCTCGGGACCGTCAAACAACGACTCAGGATGAAAAGCCGGTCCAGGGGAATGGGTCGAGACCTCCAGGAGTCGATGTAACGAACAAATCATGACGTCGGGGGTCTGGGGGCACAGGCCCCTGCAAGGTCGGGGCTGCGAGCGCGAGCGGCGTGCCCGGCAGCCGGGGCTCCACGCGCAGTGCTGCGGCAAGTTCCGCCATTGCAGCAAAGAGGTCGGGCATAGCCAGGTGTAGTCATTCTTGCGGGTCCAGGTCCGTCGGTTTCGGTCCTAGGTCGTTGTCACTAAAGGGTGGTTTACTAAAGAGAGGTTTGTCCACCGCCAGTCATTCTGGCGGAGGCAGAAGGGGCGGACCTCCAAGATCGGGTATAGCCAGGACCCTGGGTAAGGGGGCCTGGTTAGTAGTGGGGTCCTGGAGCTCCTAAGTTGGCTAGAATCACTGAACCAGGTCTGCCGCAGCTGGTTTGTTTTCCGGGTGACGGCAGTTCCGGTTAGTGGAACGGGCGGGGAGGGCGCCCCCCAGTACACATCATTAAACCAGGTCCCAACCCTTTTCTGCCAACGCCCGAAGAGGGCAAGCGAGCGGGCCACGTCCACAAGTGGCGCGCCCCATCTTCCGCCACGCGTGCACATCGCACCCTGAGTCACCTTCGGGCACCCTGGCCACAGCAAGACCTGAAGTCGTGTTCTCTTGCCAGCGCCGACCCCTGGAGGTCTAGACCCATCACCCGAGGCCTGTTTTTGTTCATCCAGGGCCGTTCTTCGGGAATCCCGGGGGCTGGCGAGGGGGCCCCTGAGGCCGAAGATCGCCAAAAAACGTCCGCCTTTTTTTTTGTTGTGATGCAAGGAGCTTTGGGGATCTGTCGGCGGCGCGCCCCTTGGGAAGTGAGCGGGGGCAGGCCTCCCCACAAGGCGGCGGGGCTTCTCAGAAGCCCCCCAGCCTTCTGAGAAGCCGCCTCTGTCTTCGGAGAAAAGGCCCAGGGAACTTCCCAGGAGGCCCGAGGCTTTCCGTGCCCTCTCTGAGATGGCCCGCCCCCCCTGCGTCGCCCCGTGGGCCCGCCGCCGGATCCCGAGCGCCTGCCCCGGGCTCAGCCCGCGGTCGGCGCCGCCTCGAGGCCTTCCTTCCGAACCCTCGCAGAAGGACCGCCCCATCTGCCTTCAGGGCTGGACCTAAACGCTGTTTTTGGCGATTTCGTGGGCCGCTTTCGTTTCGACTTCGTTTCGAGGTAAAGGTGGATTCGAGACAAAAGCGAGGGAAAGCGAAAAGAAAACGAAAACGAACAACACCGTTTGGGTTCAGCCCTGCTGCTTTCCCCCCTGGGGTTCGCCGCCGAACTCGCGCGCTGGCCCCGTCGTCCCCCCCCCCCCCCCCCCGCAGGAGATGGGGCGGCGCGGCCCCCGCGCGGGCGGGCCGCGCGCCCGGCGCGGAGGCCCCGCAGGAGCGCGTCCTGCTCGCCGACGGCCTCGAGGCGGCGGTGACCGCGAGCTGAGCCCGGGGCGGGCGCTCAAGAGCCGGCGGCGGGCCCAGGGGGGGGGGCCACATGCGAACCCTACCCCTACCCACCGCGATTTCTGAGGGGGAGGGTGGGGTGCCCTTCGCTCGGGAGCTCTCGAGCGAAGGGCACCCCGCCCTCCCCCTCAGAAAACGTGGGGGGTAGGGGTAGGGTTCGCATGCGGCCCCCTACCAGGGGGGAGATGCAGGTGGAGCGGGCCTTCGGGGGGCTCGGAAGGCCTCGGGCCTTTGGGGAGGCTTCCTTCGGGCCTTTTCCGAAGGCGGGGGCGGCCTCGCGGAGGGCCTCCTCGGAAGGCCGCGGGGGGGGCGTCCGAGGAGCTCCGCCGCCCTCCGAGGAGGCCTGCCCCCGCTCGCACTTCCCCTCCGGACGCGCCGCCGAGGGCTGCCCTCCCCAGGCCCCCTCGCGCCGTGAAAGAGTCACGGCGGACGGCTTTTTGGCTGCAGTGGAGGCCCGTGCCAAGAAGCACCCTGGTCGCCTCCAGGGTGCCCTGGGTTTCTTTTGGTTTCGATGGCTTTTCTGTGGGAAGCGCGACGTTCCCACATCAAAGAATCAATGGACGTCCTGGGGCCTCAGGGCCGGGCTTCTTGTTGAAGGTTTCGTGTGGTCATGCCCCTACTGTATGTCTGGCCTCGTGGAGCCCCCCGCCAGGCTCCGGGACCATCCCGGAACGGCTCGGGACGAACAGACGGTCCTGGGGAAGGGGTCGAGACATCCAGGGGCTGCACGCTGTGACAACAACATTCACGACGTCGGGGGTCTGGGGCCCGCGATCGCGCCGCCGCGCCCAGATTCGCAGAAGAAGAAACGCTTTCAACATAAACTATCGGCGCTCCGCGCGGTTTTCTCGGATCCCAGCGGCGCGCTCAGGCGCCGCCCCTGGCGCGCTCCGCGCGCCAGGGAGGGTGGTCCAGCGCAGATCCAAGAAATCCACGCGACGCGCCAAACGTCTGTTTATTGCGTTTTTTCTTCTCCTACAGATGCCGAGCACCGCTCGGGCCGATGCCCAGGGCGCGCCGCGAGCGCGCTTCTGCCCATATCTCCGACTGTGTGGCCTTTCAACCCCGGCGTTTTCCGCAGATGTCTGCCTCTGCGGCCCGTCGTTGGGCCCCAGGGCCAGCAGAGACGGATCCGAGAGGAAACGCTGCGCCCGTGGTAGGAGCCGGGACTTAGGGGCCGTGCATGTTGAAGGCTTCACATCATCGGCTGCCTGGGTGTATGTCTACGGTTGCACCCGAGCTCGAGCTCGAAGGGGCCGAGTGGTTAAGGCCAGTCTGAAGCGCCTGCGGCACGCGGGTGCCGAGCTTCTGGTCTGCCTTTTCCGCCATCGCCGTGCTTCTCGCTCGTTTTCAGCCCGCTGTGCCTTGTCTCTCTCCTGGCCATCCAGAAGCCTCCTCACGTGTTGAGAGCCTCGAAGAACCAGTGGCCTTCGAGAGCGTTTGGAACTCTTTGGAAACAGGTGGACACAGGTGTTGGATTCTCCTGATTCGCTTCCTTTTGGACCTACCCATACCTCCGATGCCATGATTGTTTCGCAACGTGGCCCCCTGGATGTCGACCCCTTCCCTGGGGCCCGCTTTTGATCCTGCGTCGTTTTTTGGCGGTCCTGGGCCCAGCAGGGGCCCCCGGGAGCTGAAGCAATTGTCAGACACCCTCCGCTGCGCTTTCCTCACGAGGCGATGGGGTCTGGGTGGTCTCCTGTAATTTATCCTGTGTCAAGACACTTTTTTTGACACCATCTGAGGAGCGCCCTCTTGGTGCCCAGTGTCAAGGCACACTCGGGACGCTGTGAACATCGGCTGCACAAATGCGGCCAGTCAGTGCCAGACGGCGGCCGCGCGGCCCCGAGAGGGGGCCCGCGGCTGCTGGGCGGCGAAGGCGCCAGCATTTTTCTCCGCGGTAGGTCCGGCGGCCGCGGGGCAGCGCAGGCACCAACATGCCCCCGTGCGTCCGGTTCCTGGACATTGCTCGGACGTGTGCATTTTTTGTTTCGGCGAGGACCATCGAGGGGCATCCTTGATCATTTGGCGAAAAGGCCACGCACGAAACCGAACAAAAACACAGGGAATGGATTCCCGAGCGATGGCCCGGTTCGCGCCGCGTCGACGCATCGGCGACCTCGATGCGGGTGTTGAAGGTCAGACCTGCGAGGACCGATGCCTTCCGTGTTTCTCTGCCCCCTTGGGCCTGCCGCAGCGCCCTCGTCGCCACGGTCGGATCCGCCTCTGAAGGCTGGGCAGAGTGGGTTTTGAGGGCTAGTATGGAACGATCATAGCCGTCAGAAAGTCACGGCCGCTCAGTGCTGATCCGTCCACGCGTGACAAGAAATCAGCGCTGACGTCGTCGCGGCCTGGAGTTGCCGTATCCAATTTGTTGGAGTGTTGGGCCTGGCCAGACTGTGGTAGTGGTTGTCCATGTGGGCCCGTCCGACATTCTTCGGCGCGGAAATCCCAATATGTGCATCTCGTGTCTGGGTATGGTTGTTTGTGTGTGCGTGTGAGTCCGAGAGGACGACGGGCACGACCACGGAGGCGGCGTTTGCGAATCGGGGCACCGACGATTATAATTCATAAACAGACAGGCGCTGAGTATGTTTTCCCCTCTCCTTCCGATTCCTCCTCGTCGTAGCGCCTCTCTTACTTTCCTCCCTTATCCTTTTTCCCTCCTGCGTCCTCCTCCATCCTCCGTCCTCCCTCCTCATCTCTGGCGGCCGTTTTTTTCCCTGCTGCGTCATTCTGCTTCTTCCTCGTCCTCTCTCCTCCTCCGTTCTCCCTGGCAAGTGAGAGAGTCGGGGCCCGGCAGCATGCCTACCACCTCCTTCCTTCTTTTCCTGCTGGCCTGCCCTTGCCTTCTTGCCTTCCGCCGCCGTTTGGCCTTGTGCACCTCACAGGGCCTTTGGCAATTCACGGTCCTCGCCCGAACCGGGCGACAGATTTGCGCAGGCTTCCGCTGAGGTCTGGATCCTGGCGCTGCGCGCTGGATGAAGAAGATTATCCTACCATTGCGCGGACTCCGCCAGAGGCAGCGGAGCCGGAGCCGGCTCCGCCGGCGATCCAAGGCATTTCGCGTGCGGCGGGCCGCCCGCGCGGCGCGCGGGCGAGGCTGCTGCGCGGCCTCTTCCTCTTCGCGCTGAAGCTCAGCATCTGCGGTGTCGAGGTGTTCGCGTCCGGCGAGTGGCCGCGCGCGGTGGCTGACGGAGGTCTCCAGGGCGGCTGCGGCGAGGGCTGGTCTCTCATCCCTGTTCGGGACGGCGCGCCGCAGAACTGGAGACGCTACCGAGACGGCGTGGAGGCCTGGGCGCTCGGCGCCAACCTTGACGTCAACTTCTGCGTGTCCGCCCGTCTGGTGTCGGGCTTGTGGGGCGCCGCGAGGCGCGTCGGCCTCCGCATCCCGACGGGAGGGCCTCCACGCCGCCCAGGCCATCGGCGAGGAGCTGGACGACGACGGGGACGTCGCGCGTCCAGGGCAGCCGTCGGGCGGCATGTTCGGGATCAGCGCTGTGTTGTCGGCGTTGGAGGCCGCGTTCGATCCCCAGCAGGCAATCCAGCGCGGAGAGTCCATGGGCGAGGTGTTCGAGTCGCAGAGGTACAACCGTCGAGGTGGCGAGAGGATCGCGGATTTCATCCGGAGGTTCGAGGAGGGCCTCCAGCGGCTGGAGGACGACGGCGTGCAGTTCGCAGGTCAGGATGATGTCTTCCGCTGATGTTGTTTGTTTGAAACAATGCAACCTGGGCACCGAGAGGCGCGAGCGAGTCGTGGCGGCCCTCCCAGATGAGAAGTACAGGTGCACCAGCGTGAAGAAGATAGTGGTCAGGGTATTCCCGGACTTGCACGTGAATGGGTCGCGCGGGCCGCCTCCTCGGTTTCATCGGGGGCGCGGCGGCTGCCGAGGTCAGCGCGCCGAGGTGGACATCGAAGCAGCTCGTCGCAGGGCGCCTCGGTCGCGGAACGAGACCAGCGCGGTGGGCCAGAGGGGCAGGATCGAGTCGTCGACGAAGAGGAGCACGACGAGGCCAACGAGGCGAATGAGGCGCAGGACGGCGACGCCCAAGGGTTCGCGAGGCACTCGAGGCGCTCGCGACGGAGACCGAGGAGTCACAGGTCGACCTCTCGCCCGAGCAGGCTTCGGCCCTCGAGGAGGCGGCGCCCCAGGTGTCGCAGCTCGTGGAGGCGCTCGAGGTTATCCGTGACGCGTGGGGTAAGCTCGGCAACGAAAACAGGGGTGGCCGCGGCAGTGGCAAGGGCCGAGACGGCCGCGGCAATGGTCGTGGCGCGCACCCCCCGCTGGAGCTTTCTGGCAGCGGCGTCGGGGCAGGCAGGGGCCGCGACCGCAAGGCCCGCGGCAAGCTGGGCCACTGGGCAGGATTTCCCGAGTGCAAGGCCGGCATGGCGGTCGCCAGAGCCGCCGGGATCGGAGGGCCAAGGTGGCGAGGTGGAGGTCGACATCGAGACTCCAGTCATCGTTGGGCCGCCGCCTGCGAACCTCGGCCTGGACGAGGCCTGCCCTGACCTGTCGGTGGGCGAGCGCGCCGTGGTACTGCCGCCGCAGCGGGCCGCTGCGCCGCCGTCGCAGCAGCAGGCGTAGCGGGCGTCGCCGCACTGCGGCCCCATCGGCGGGCGTCTGCGCAAGACCATCGATTGGGCCCGCAAGGCAGCTGAGGTGGCATTCGCCTTGGCGCCGCGCACATTCGTTTGCAAAGTTTGCAAGAGTTTCACGGATTCCCACGGGCAGCGTACCAGAAATGGTATTGGGGAGGGATTCAGGATTTTGCGGGTGCAACAATTACGTTGGTTCGCGGTGTTGAAATCCCAAGAATGGCGATGTGTCGCGATCCAGGATCGTCAAAACGCAACAGTCAGGTTGATCCGTGGCGTTGGAATCCCGAGAACAATTTTTCGGCATGCTTCCGGGTCTTCAAACGGTTGTCTTCCAACGAGGCAGATCCCTCAATGGAAATGAGCCGCTGTAGGGTCCTGTG